TATACTGATAAATATTGGTTTATCATGAGCACTCATAAATTTAAAGTTACAGATGTCTACTTTGGAAAATGAATTAGGACCATGAATCCTTTATAATTTGGACATATGCACTACAATAGGCTTGACGCCCTTTTTGGTACGAGAAAACGCGTGGTTTAGTCAGGTGTTATCCTTGCCTTACAAGGGTCTAAATTGTCATCACATAATTTCTCAAAATGAATCTTAGAAAATCTTGGAAATAAATTTCAAAATGTAAATGGTTATCAAAATTTAGTTTTAAAACAAAAATAGCAGGTCAGAAAGATTTTATTTTCCTATCAAAGACAAAGGTCTAAAAGATAAAATCTGAGTCAATCAATTACTCGAACGAGTCAGCGGTATTTGATAAGATGATTGCCAGGGATAATGTTATGGCGAAATTAACAATGGGGAGAGGGTCAGGTCAGACCCCCTATTTTAGTCCGAGTTTCCTCTGACCCTTGCTAACCCATTTCTAATATTTTGACATTTATCAACAGTAACCCAAATATAATGTTGATGATGGAAAACAAATCGAACAAATAAATGAAAGTCAAGCAATATTTATAGAAAAATAAAAAAACATAAACTTCTAAAAACATTTGTTCTGATAACAATAACTAGAAATCTGTAAATATTGCTGTAAGTTAGGGTAAAAATCAGATTCAACAAGCGGAGAGCACGTCAATGCTGTGGTCACGTGATATAAACAAGTACATCGCTTACAAGTGCGCAGTACTTGATGATCTGGTTTTCTCCACCTTGATGCAATACGAAAACTTTCTAGTCGTTGTTCTCAGAATAAATATGTTGCGAATTATGTTCCCATTATATTTATGCTCATGTATTAGGTGTCTTTTAATTAATATTTTCGAATTCTATGTACAACTTTAAAAATGGTTTATTGTTGATATCACATAACTATTTGACATCTGATGTCATTTACGTATAGGTTGCGAGATTTGTGAAGTCATGTGACTCGGAATGAAGATAGCGAGTTTCAGGTCAAATTTCATCAACGCTGTATGAATCCAATCCGGCGAATTAACCTTTTTTCATCATTATGGTCACAAACCCTGGAAACGTGAACCATTTGAGGATGTAACCCATTTGTACTAGCTTCCACTCAGCAGTAAATATGCGTTAGAGTCTAATAATCGTTCCGAACACGGCGCAAAATCTTCCGAGTCCATCGTTCGTCTAGCCTCTAACATTTGAATAAAATGACGTCATCAACCGTCATTTATACTATCAAAACTTTAATTATACATTCCTTTTCTGGAAATTGATACAAAAATTATAAAATGATGCAATCTGAAATAAAAAAACAAGTTAAATATTTTATCTTGTAAAATTAGTTTAATGACGTTTTTTAGCCCGTGGTAGAAATGAAGTACTTCCTCAAATCGTTCACGATTCCAGGGTTTGTGACCGTAAGGGTGAAAACAATAGTTGATTCGCCGCATTGGATTCATGCGATGGTCGTCTGAGAGTGATGAGAAGGTACGTTACTGTCTTTTTAATGGATAGGTGTAGTTTTTCAGTCTTCGTGTGATTCTGAAGTGATAAAAGACACGTAAGAAAATTCGAATCGAGCGGAGGGTTGTGGTCGACTTCCACTATATATATATATATATATATATATATATATATATATATATATATATATATATATATATATATATATATATATATATATATATATATATACATCGTCTGCTTCCGATATTTACAGTGTCGAATCAAGCAAAGGAAACGAATGAGAAAAAAAATGCCTTTCACATGAATTTAACAAGTGGTTTCAATAATTTGTTCATGTGTGCAAAGGAATATAATTCCAAACTCAACGTTATGGTAATTTACGGAATTATCCTGCAGTTACCGAATAGGATGAATTACGTCATTATGTTGTTGGATGGAAAAAAAAACTACCCAATAGTGTATAGAATATGGCGTTGTGTTAGTATAAAATGTCCGTTAAGCTTGAAAGGTGAAAGACGACAATGGAATCAACTAATACTATTCAGAACAGTATATAATTATAAATAGAAGAAAAAAACTTGACTTCTTTTAAACACTACTCAGTGTTGATGTACAAAGCAAGTACACAAACAGATGACGGAACTAGAGAAATACTTTCAAACTGAAAGAATCGATGCCGCAGAAGGTTCATACCTAAAGTGTATTTATGCAAAAGGGACACAAGAAATTGACACAATAAGGATACCAATTTAAAAAAGACCTACAATAAGTGGAATAATGGCAACCTTTCGAATAATGATTAAGGACTTTGTGGACCTAACTGTCAGTATTAGTGTAACAAAGAATAGCTTTATATTAAGACCAAAGGGAATTGCACCAATAATGCCATATGGTGAAATGGAAATAGCTGGAGGAACAATAATAATCAAGAAACCAGAACCCTTTCTAAAAAAAAAAAAAAAAACAGGAGAATTACACTTAGTGGATTTAACAATGGAAATAACATTGGAAGTAACAGTGGAAAGATTTAAAAAAAAGTTTAATATTAAAATGCACAGTGCGAGACTGGATAATATTCCTGGTTTCCATATAAAGAATGGTATCAAAATTATAGAAATTGAGAGAGAAAAAATGTACATCAAGAAGGTTTTCTGTTTGCACGGGTTTTTAGTTAAAACGTGGTTTAAAGGGTGCATTTTCCACAGGAAATGCTACAACTGTGGACAACTTGGGTATACGCCAAAGAGATGCCGAGTAGAACGAGAAAATGTACAGCAATTTCAACAGATCCAGCAGACCAGACATGTTAGCGAGTTAACGATATTCCCGAAACGGCAGAAAATGACAGAAACAACCAACTAATCAACATCAACTACAACAACAATAAAAGACAGTGGAGAAAGAACTGAAACAAAGGTAACAGCAACAACAAAAAAATACAGAACAAGGGGACCAACAGCAAAAACCTAAGTTTAATCTACACCTCCACCAACACTACAACAACAACAAAGTGATAAACACAATCAAGCAGCGATGCAAATGACAAATACACTAACGAAAAAGAAGTAAAAAAGCAAAAAAGCGAGGAAAGCACTGAATAATGGGGAATCAACATCGAAAGAAACGGAAACATCAACACCAACAACGAAAAACATAAACTATCTAGAGAAATCCTAAAAGTAAAACACTATAACCTAACCGATATAGACGACCATCAAATGCAACAGTATTTTATGGACTCGGACGAGTTCTTAGACGATCAATAAAGTTTTAAATAATAATAATAATAATAATAATAATAATAATAATAATAATAATAATAATAATAATAATAATAATAATAATAATGAAATATGCAATTACTGACATCATTTCTATTATTAAGCCTTCGGGTATGTATACAGTTAAGCCTTTGGTTAAAAATAAAGTTAGGGAGGTGGAGCCCATTAAATGGTCTGAAAAGGTCAGACGAGGGCAACCCTCCTAACAATAAATAATAAAATAAAATAAAAAATAAATAAAGAAATAAGAAAAAAGAAAGATGCAAAGGAGATACCAGTATTAGTGCCATTCTGGTCATAGTCACGTTAGAAATTATAAATCAATGATTAAATTGACTTAGTTCGATGCACTTTTTATGACATTAAACTGTTTAGTTATTGAAATCGGTAGGGGGTACAAACAAACGGGGATGTAGCATCGGACTATAAATATACCCCTCTTTACCCTATACAGGACCACCATTGATTACAGGTGCCAAATCTTGGTCTACATCAGTGATAGCTACGATGTCGTAGCCTCAACTTGTTTGTTGTTCACAAGGTAGGACTTAGGGTATTAATAATAGTACTACATCAGTGAAACATAATAGCTAACCACTACATGTTTATTAACCCCCACCCACACCCACACCGAAAATATTTCTCAGGGCACCCTGTGAGATTGGAAATTGTAGTCTTCCAGAGTAATACGAGAATCAGAGTGATTAATATCAATCCTTTCCGTAACGATAACTGTTATAGCTCCTTGTGATTACTTAGTACAGGGAGAAATAAGTAATTTTATTTAACATAGAAGAAATATCCTAATAACCAAAGTTTTTTAGTCATTTAATCCCTTAAATTATTTTCAATATTAAATATTATATTATATAAAAATTTAGGTGCTATTTCTCAAAATAATTTTTAATATATATATATATATATATATATATATATATATATATATATATATATATATATATATATATATATATATATATATATATATATATATATAGATGCAATAAACTGACGACGAACAGTACGAAACTAGTAACTAACTAGCCTAAGCGCTTTCGACTCTTAATGAGTCTTTTTCAAAGGCAAATACAAAACATAGTTACGACAAACAAATAAACACAAAAACGTTGCGTTTGTAAACCTCTACATGTAGAGGTTTACAAACGCAACGTTTTTGTGTTTATTTGTTTGTCGTAACTATGTTTTGTATTTGCCTTTGAAAAAGACTCATTAAGAGTCGAAAGCGCTTAGGCTAGTTAGTTACTAGTTTCGTACTGTTCGTCGTCAGTTTATTGCATCTATTTTAATTAATCCCTGACAGACGTGATCCCTTGGTGGATCCAGTACGCTTGAGAGGGTTGTTATTCGCCATATGATTTGTATTCTTTATATATATATATATATATATATATATATATAATATATGTATATGTCATATATATATATATATATAATATATAATATATATATATATATATATATATATATATATGACATATGTTATTAATACAATTAGAACTCCCCATGTTCACATCAAGGTTAAGCAAAGTTAAAAGTATCATGATCAGAATGACAAAGATTTTTCAGCATAAATTACCAGGCATATTAAAACTCAATAAACCAGATTTTATATTTAAATACAACTAATTTAAAAAGATAAACGTGTTGGCGAAATGAAGAAAGATTTTTATAAGTACTTTAATTACCAATTTAGCAACTCCCGTGATAGCTCAGTTGGTAGAGCGGAGGACTGTAGAATGTTAAAAGCTGTTATCCTTAGGTCACCGGTTCGAATCCGGTTCGCGGGAACCAATTTTATTTTTTCTAATAAATTTTTATTTAATTCTACTCAGTTCTACTTTAGGAGATGTAGACACATCACGTCAGTACCCAAGCGAAAAGACAAATCATTGTCAATATTTCTAGTCCCAGAAAAAGGACTAGAATATTGTCGCTGTCGCAACAACGAGGAGAAAGCTGGATTTATCAAGCGGAGAGCACACATCGACACGTTATTTTGTTCGCATCAAGCGAGACTCGCACAGTGAAATGTAATCTCCAGGCAATGAATGGGCACTGGACATGGGGATAGTGTTCCTGACTGATGAGGTACTGGGAATAAATTATTACTGATATTTTGTACCCTACGTCGTTAATGGGTTCTAGGAATATTAAGAGCTGATTTAATATTTTCACTTTTTTTGGTTCAAGATTAGAGGGTATTTCTGTTGTGTTTCTGTCCTTTATAATAACACGTGACTTGGACCTATAATATCAATCATTGACATTCGAGATTCTGATACTCTTGTGACCATGCATGCAGATAGCAGGTATCATATAACTAATTATTTTCCAAAGACATAAGGCTGTTTTTTTTAATGAAATAAATGGAACTTCCATTCTAGTGTAGCATGCTTGTTATGTTGGGTTAGAGAGAGAGAGAGAGAGAGAGAGAGAGAGAGAGAATCTCACGTGACGATGTACGCCAAAGCACTTAAGAGAGATAACTCTTCTATAACTTTACTGGGGTAATAGTGATATTGTCAACGAATATTATCTAAATATGAATACCGCAATCTGTCACGCAACAAAAAGTCTAATTCTTTTGTTGGTGGTGTTGTTTTGTTGTTGTTTTATGTTGTTTTTTATGTTGTTTTTTTAATAGCCTAACAAACCATACAATTAATGCACCAACTGCAGCTAGGTTTGCTCTAGTCTGAGTTTCCTCTGACCCTTGCCACACCATTTTTGATTTTTGGACATTTATGTTGGGGTGTAGGGTCAGAGTCCATTCCCTATCGAAAAGGTGGAATTCGCCGACACCATATGGTGTCGGTATACGGTAGCCGTTTACCAAACCTTCTAGTAAATTTTAACGACCTTTCATCAAGATATACCTGCATGAAATCGATAGGAATATGATTTTATTTTCTCAGATATTGCTGGTATAGCATTCGTTATATCTTTAATCCGCTGACAGATTAGCTGAAAACACAGCGTTGATGAAATCTGACCTGGAACTCGCCATTTTCATTCTGATTCACATGACTACGCAAATCTCGCAATGAGAAAAAGACCTTCCTGAGCCAAACAACCTAACCCTGTTGCTAGGACTTAGATCCCAGTTCCTTTTGTGATTTCTACCAAATTATTGATAGAAGCAGTTCCAGAAATTGACCTTGGCTGTGGCAAAGGCTTAAGGCAGTTAAAGCGGATTGCTTTTCGTTCCTAATTTGGTTTGTTTGGGTTTTTTAAATTAAAAAAAAAAACACACAACTGTCTTTTTCAGGGATACCCATTTCTTTCAAAAAGAGATAGTATTCATTTTGCCTCGGTCACTTAAAACTCAAAATCCTTTTTTAACCTTTGATATACGTGTTGTGAGTGCATGGGTGTAAATCCTTATTCTAAAAATCAAAACCATGACACTTACATTTTTCTGTCTTTTCTATTCTGGTACATCTTTTACAATCCAATTCACAACACAACACAGAACAAAACAACACAACACAACACTTTAAAAAAGTTCATAGACGTCTTCTGTGTCTCTTTTTGTTCTCTCTCTCTCTCTCCTCTCTCTCTCTCTCTCTCTCTCTCTCTCTCTCTCTCTCTCTCTCTCTCTCTCTCTCTCTCTCTGTTTTCTGATTTTCTTCACTTTCACTGGTTTTTATTCCTCTTCTTCCTCACTTTTTTCTCTCCGTCAGTACCCACATGTCCAATACACAAATCGAATGGAATGAGCAAATATTCGGTTGCTAAAACCAACCCATAGGTTCAGCCTTTTACTAGGTAAGAGAAATGTCGAATGGTCCCCTCAAAACACACACACGCGCGAGCGCGCGCGCGATAACATAACAATGGGATGAATATGGACAACAAGACCTCGTATGTTTTTATTGAACATTCGTGTTAAAGATAAGAAGCATTATGGATACTGCAGAAATTAAAATACCCCACCACCAATCGATTATATTTTATTAAGTGTCAGTGCTTTTATTTATGCGAATAAATACATACCTAAATAAATACCTATATAAAAAATATGTCAATCATGATCTAGCAGGTTGTGGATTGATTTCAGTGCACATCGTCTTCGCAAGTGAAAAATATCTTTGAAGATAATACAGAAAAAAAAAATATTGCCACTGTGTAGTAAATAATAACTATTTATAAATGCATGCTATTTTCTGGATGGGCCTCACTAAATATTTGTAATAATTATACTTCAATTACAAGATTCCGCACAGGAAATAAATTTCACGTACAGTAATTTACCCAGTGATGGTTATGCAGCATGCGGAAGAAGTTATTACCGAGAGCAGGTCAAGCTAAGGTAAGAACAGCTGCTATTCACTCTACAATTTACTTACTATCACTTGCCTTTATAACCTAGACATGACGTTGAGCTACTCAGATATGTTGTTAACAATTTAAATTAACAGCCACTACTCAAAGAGAGTGGAGTGCTTAAACAATAACTTGAGGGTTGAAGCTTAGCACTGTATCAATGAATACGATGTCCCTACATTCGCTAACTAGGTTGGGGTACTAACATTGATTAATGTAAAGACCGACTATTTAAGTTTTATTCGGGGTAGGTAGCAAAATTTTTGAAAACAAAAGAAAAGCATGCAAATAGATTAAAAAGTTAATCTTCCTTAGATTTGTAGAAAAGATAACAAACTTGATCCGTCATGTTAGTTTCCCGAGAAAGTATCCAGCGATTAAAAAAAGACAACAACATAAGCCTGGTTCGGAACAGTGGTTATGCAGATTTTGATCAAACGTTCATGGGTTGATTCAGACCATATGAAAAATTGTTAAATTTACTCCTAGATTTAAGTATGACATTTACAGTTATTTTGGATATGACATTTCTCATTAATTCTCATGTACGTTTAGACATCAACTCCAATTTTTAAGTAAGCTAATGTCGTCGTTCTGTATACAAATTCAGTTTCAAAATAATGTTAGACAGATTATCTTACATTGCCAGTCCTGCGATGAAATATTTGCAAAGCAGTGCATTCACCATTTTGCAAAATTGAAATAGTTTACTTTATTTTGTCGAAGTAAACTATTTAAAATTTGCACAGTGGTGAATTTACTAACAATGAGGGGAAAAATCGCGAAACAAGGCCTGTGCTCTCTCTCTCTCTCTCTCTCTCTCTCTCTCTCTCTCTCTCTCTCTCTCTCTCTCTCTCTCTCTCTCTCTCTCTCTCTCTCTCTCTCTCTCTCTCAGTGTTAGATTCTGTTAAAATGAAGATTAATCAAGTTGCTTAAAGAACTTCATGTTAATTTTAACCTGAATTTAAAATAAATCATTTCATTTTATTTAAATTACAAACACAGAATTAATTTGACATCATATTATGACAATCTGTTTACTACCTTTTTTACCAGTATGCCCATTGTTTTATGGCAAGTATATGAAAGCCAAATAACAGACTTAGTTATGTGTGAAATAATATATCTAATTGAATGTTATGATTATTTTATTAGGCTTCTACCATCTAACGATGAAACCATACGATTCTGATGCCTACTCTATCATAGGAATGGAGGGTGGGGGTGTCTCCAATAAAACCATTGGGCTTTCATGAAACTCATGATTAACATCTGAATGCATCTATGCACAGATAACAGCAAAACATATGGTTTGTGAAAATGTATATACAATAGCACTTTTTAAACAAAAACAAGATGGTTTTCCATTGTTTCGTTCTAATTAAGCTCATTTTCGAGGTCAGGGGCAAAAGTAGAGGTAGAAAAATATTTGTAAACTCTGTTGCCTTTCCGGATCTATTGTAAATCTATACCAAGTCTGAAATCTTGTTCATGAAATCATTTGTCTAGAAAAATGCATGGATGGTTAACCTGCCACCAAAATCCCAGTGTATTTTGCAAGCAGTTTCGGAGTTCTAGAGATCAGTCTGGTAACCTAAGTGGTTAGATAACCCGCCTCAGATGCTTCAGATAATGGGGATGAACCCCAGCCGAATTGTACCAAAAACTTATAAAAATATTACTAAAGCTGACATGCTTGATTGTTGACTTTCAGTTCTCATAGTTTGGGGCAGATTTAAAGAGATATGCATGTTGCATTTTTTTATTTAGAGAAATGTGGCTCTAAACTTCTGCATTTAAATCATTCAAGAGAACTTTGGGAGTGGCTTAACAGATTGATAGATACATGGCCATCGAAAAATGAAAAGAGTACAGATAATTGATACGGCTTCCATCTCTAGTTAAGGATTTTGAAAAAAACATCAATTGTTTTTAGGCAGGGTTATTCAGATCCATCATGGATGTGTTGCTCATCATCAGTCATCCTTTTCTCAGTATTTACTGTTCTTCAATATTTAATTGCCATGTTGATTATCAAATTTCCTGTACTTTTTCAAGGGACAATGAAATAACCTGTATTTTAAAATGTATGATGATTCAAAATGAAAGGTGAAGTCCAACTTGTTATGATACATTATCATCAGAAACAGTCTGCTTCTAAACAGATAATGTTGAAGGTATCTCAGGATGTAATCATGAGCTATGTAAACCCATGTGATATAGTATTGTTAATACAGACTGAGATATCAAATAACTGCATGGTGATGTTACATGTATACTTTGCAAAGGCTCTTTGTCACTTTGTTCCGTGTGTGTATATATATATATATATATATATATATATATATATATATATATATATATATATATATATATATATATATATATATATATATATATATAAGTTACAGGTCCTAGACAGTAAGAAGGCAAGAATAAAAGTTCACATTCCCATAGATAA